ATCCGGATGATCGGAAATTCGCGATTGGGTTAGTCGATCACATGTTACACTTCACAATTTTTAAACGTGATTCAGATAAGATAATGATATCTGGTAACTATTAGTCACAAATGGCAAGTCAACAAGAAACAGCTGGGTTAAATTCAACACAATTAATTTTATCGTTGCCAAGTTTAGTTTGGCATGAGACACTTTTTCCTTTTAGCATTTTGGTAACTCTACATGCGATATATGTTAACTTGAAGTATAAAGCTTGTTTAAAAAATGTACAAGTTTCGTGGCTACAGGGCTTTGTTTCTTTAATGATTATGACTGTTGGTGGATCTACAACAAGCGGTAATTCATTAGCAAATTTTATAATTTTTTGTTGTTTGTTTCTTAATATTCTATTCCTTCGTAACATAATATATATATATTTGAACAGCCATTCTAACTGGTAATGCGCCGAGTTGGCTCGCTTCAAATACAACCATGACAACATATTTGTAAGTTTTGCTAGATTGTAAATATTTATTTTCAAATGGTTCAATCAGATGTCTTTAATTGCTAATTTTTGGGTATTTGTCAGATGGATATATTCGATAATGTTTTATTTCCCAAATTTTCACCAATATTTTACTTCAATACCTCCATTCATTCTTGATCCAATTCTTATAACGGCTGATGGCTTTATTCGTGCTAATGCAATATGTTCATCAGGTGTAGACAGAATTCGATTTGGCAAGCATGATAACCCTTTATTGAACACAAGTTGGGTTGCTATTTTGATCTGTGGAACATTATCTGGTTGCGGTGGTGGTTTATGGGAGTCTACTTTTCAACTTGCATCACCGAAATGGACATTTTCTACACCTCCAGCTTTTATAAATCCTCCTTATGATATGAAGACGAGTTTTATTACTGCTTTGCTTTATACATTAACAACTTCAGATATTCAATTTCCAATAATGTCTTTTACACCAATGTTAGACATTGATCAAGGAAGAGCTCTTGCGATCATTTGCTTTGTAGGGCTTAATTTGGCCAAATTGAAAGATCCTACACACATTAGATATTCGCAGGAAACAAAAAGTATCGAAAACAAAGACAAAGTGCAATAATAAGCAGTAATTTATTAAATGTTGAGAATACGGTCTTTTTAAATTTAAATTATAAATATTTTACGAACAAATTAAATAACGATTTTCTGGTTTATATTCATAAATTATATATACATATAAAATGAAATTTTACTTAATTTGGTGTGCGATTTTATGGACGTTTATAAATTAAAGTTTTGAGTCAAAAAGTTGATCGTAATTAATGTAATACTGCTTTACTACCACTTTATTACGTAATTTCTTTTTTTAGTAGGCCAGAATAAAGATGCTGAATTTAGTGATGAAATAGTTTCACCACCATTGGTGAAATTGGCGTATATTGGTAAAATTAATTTCCTCACTCCTAAGTGACCAAATTAACAGCCACTTGTAAGATTTATGATAGACTACTAACTACTAACAATGATTGCCTGCCTACGTAAGTACGTACAGACTCGTAGTACGTACTGGTACTAATTGTCAATGTTAAATTAGATGCAAAAAATTGGAAATTCTGTGATCGTGATAAATCATTGTTAAAGGTAGGGTGTCTGCTGATCAATTTTCATAGTAATCATGTGGTAAATTATATGAAATCATGTGATCGACCAATCAGAATTGTAAACACCCCAGATTTAACCAATCAGAACTAGCAATTCTTGTGTAACCTAACAAAATTTTAGGTCACCTAACTTTTTTTATCTATATATAAACATGAATATTTTTAAATAATACAAGATATAAAATTTTACTAATATAAGAGACTTTAAAGTATATATCAAAAAATTTTGGTTAAGTTTTGTTATATTTCTAAAAAGTTTTATTAGAAACGAATTTTTGTTGTCTATATAAAATTTTGTTATACATGTAAATTATATAAAGAAATGATCTATAGACACCCTACCCTTAAATATCTATATTGTGTATTTGAAGGATATTAGGAATTCATAAAATAAAAAAAATTTTAAGAAACCTAAAATAATTTCATAGCTCAGAAATTCATAATTTCATTATATTGTTATAGAACAAATTAACTATTAGTTTATTATTTTATTATTTATTATTTATTAATTATTATCTTAGAATATTATTATTATTATTTTGTATTATTATTAACA